AGTATTAAAACAATTAAAGACCTGAAATATTTCAGTTGGTGTGCAATGAATCTGAAATATATGAAAGTTTCATTTTTATCATTACATTATGGAAAATAATTACCTTTATCAGAATATGCTAATTTTTTGAGAAGGACCTGTATAAAGAAGAGTTCATCTTTGTCAGAGAGAAAAAAAGGAGTGAAAGAAGTCAAAGATGTGCCTCTTCTAACAGTTGAAAACTCAATAAGTATAAATAATAGATCTTTAAACCAAACCACATTGATCTGAACTGAGCGCAGAACGTTTCCGTTCAGCAGCTCCGACACCGGGTCGGATCATTCACCTGTCCAGGTGGGTTCTGGGTGACCTCAGCTTCCTGGGAGCTTTCTTCTTGTGTTCTCACCCCCGTCTTCTTCTTCTGACCCCCTCCAGCTCCACAGCTGCTCCTCACAGAGGTGCTACAGATTTAAAAAGCACTAAAACTTTAGCAAACAAAGAAAGGAAGTTAAAATCTCTTCTGCTGCTCTGACCTGTCCTCTTTTGACGTGCTGTGCTGTCCACCGTGAAGGTTTGTGGGCTTTCTTCGATGCTTCGCCGTCATCTCCTCCTCCCGCCGTGCTTCACCTCGGCTTTCTCTACGTGCGCTTCCTTCTTTCTGCGACGAGGCAACTTTGTCCCTGCAGTCGTCTTGTGCTGCTTCTGTCCCCGTCAGGCTCTCGTCCTCTACACACGTGAGCGCACAGTGCCACAGGTCCAAATCCTCCGTTTCTTTGTTCTCTGCTTCTCTCTTTTCTTCTGCTTTCTCCTGTTTGTCATCTCTAATTGTAGCTTTGCTGGAAATCTCGTGCTGGACAGCAGTTTCTTTCGCTAAATTTGCCGGACTTGACTCCTCCTTTTTACTGGCTTCTGTGTGGGTACCGTCTGTAACACCAGTTTGAACTCTGGTTTGTGTCTGAATCTCTGAATTAAACAGGTTTATTTGTCCAGTTTTCTCATCCAACCTTTTCCCATCCAGGTTGATGTTGATACTTATCTTTTTCTGAGGAATCACCTTCATCCCTCCCTCCCATATGTTCGTCTGAGCCAAACTTTCACTCTTTTTGTCTGGTTTAGGCTTTTTTCTGTCCGACAGCTTCAGACATTTACTGTCACAGCTTGGAGGTTCAGCAGGTTCAGTTATTGGGCATTTTCTGCTTTTAGACACAACACTGAGATTACTTTCCCTCTCATTTTTGCTTTTATCTTCCCATCTTCTCTTTCTGTTCACTTCTGGTCTTGAGCCTGAACCTTCACCGTCTCCAGGCTGCCATTCTCTTTCTGAGGCAGTGGTGTCTGGACCCTTACTGGGATTTAATTTGTCTTTTCTCAGCTTGTCTTGTCTCGACTCGGAGTCTTGACTCCTCCTACTTCTTTGCTTGTTTTTCAAATGACTCTCCTCTTTATCCTTTCTTTTACACTCTTTATCCAAAGGTTTGTCTGTTTTCAGAGGTTTGTGGACTGATTGGGTAGCTTTGTGTGGTCCTGGATGACCCTCGTCGCTGGCCTTTGGTTCAGTGTTGCACCTCTTATCCTGTCGGAGGTCACGTTTAGAGCCCAGTGAAGCAGAAGTTCTTTCTCGTTCACGTTTCTTCTTCTGTTGCTCGTGATTTGAGTGGCTGGACTTATCAGCATTTTTTACCGTTTGTTGATTGGTGTTGGATTTTATGGCTTGTGAGTTGGCCTCCCCGCTTCTCTTCGTCACTGTGCCTGACCGGGACGTTTCCGTGCAGTTTTCTGAAGTCTCCCTGGTCTGAGTTGGGTCTTCTGTTGGCGTGGAGTGACGAGACGGCAATCTGTCGTTGGCTTTATCTGACAAGCAGCTGTCAACGGAGGGGTCAGATGCTACGGAGCGGGCGTCACTTGAGGACTGAGAGTGAGGGGAGCGGCCATAACTAGAGGCCTCCGATGAAGAGGGGCTGGCTGTGCGTCGACTTTGCAGTGGGCAGAAAGAGTCTTGAGGACATGGAGGAGGCGGAGGAGGTGGCAGCTGGTGGAACTGTTTGATGAAGTTGCTGTAAAAATTGTCGTACCACTCTTGGTACGCCTCCCTCCACTGCAGGTAGCTTTGCCTTTCCAGCTCCAGGCTGCTTGCGTCAGCTGCGTACGACAAGTCTCCCGCTTCTCTGCGTCTCTTTGAGCTGCGGCTGCTCGAAGACGACCTCCTGCTGTGATGGCGGCTCTCGTCACGATGCGAGGACGACTTGGATTGGGAGCGACCACCCCGCGGCGAAGAGGATGATGTATGGGAGCTGGGCCGTTTGTAACCGTAAGAACAGGAAGGGGTGGAGCTGGAGTGAAAGTTTCTGGGACCGGAGACAGGAGAGCACGGCCTTCAAAACATAAATAAAAAAAGGAGAGAAAACAAACATGTTTCAGTCGTTACACACGTCAGTGTAATCTTACTTCCAAATCAAACTTAAAAGGAGAGTGAATTTTTTCTTCCAAGTAAGATTCTGAGGAGTTCTTGGCAGTCAATATCTTACCTGCAGTTTGCAGGCATCTGAAACATCTCAATTTGGAAAATCATCAGGGAGAAGTTTGAACAGAACAGAGTGGAGCCACGTTAAAGTGGATTTCTGTCATTTTAAGAACTCTTAACTGTCAGGGGTTTATGTGGACTGTATTTAATAAACTTTACACTGCAGCCAAGTTCACACGGTTATCAGCCACCACCGTGAAACACTTGGTGAGATAATGCGTTTGTCTGTTAGCAAAACATCTCATGAACCACTGCACAGAGATTAATGAAACATCAGGAAGTTCTCATCTACAACTGATGAACTCAGACTCAACCTGATTCACAGCAAATCAACCTTAAACACAAAAATGGCTCCAGTTGAGTCATTTTGACAGATTTAGCTCAGATACCTGCAACACAAAGTTCTGACTGCTGAGCTCCACAGAATCTAAACTTTCCCTTTAAAGCAAGATGACGTATGAAGGTAATCATGCTTTCTGCACAATCTGAAGCTTCACTTACAGACTGAGCAAACTGTAAAATACACACCTAAGAGATTAAAATAGTTAAAAACGTAACACATTTCTAAGCAGGTGAAAGGTATACCTCGATCTGGAGCGGGAGCGAGAAGCAGAGCGACTGTGTGATCGAGAGTAGGAGCGGGAAGACTTGGATTTGGAGAACTTTGGATGTGAAGAGGAGTGCCTGTGAGGTGAGCTGTGTGAGAGAGAAGGAAGCATCTGAGAAGAGATTTGGAAACTGCACACCAGCACAATGGGAGTTGGATTTTTGTCCACATGTATTTAAATACAAACTCCAAGCAAGGGGGAAAAAAAGAAAAAGCTAAAAGGGATTTAAAAGTTGTAAACAAAATGTTTTAGTCATTTTTTTTTCTCAGAGTAAAATAAAGAAACTGTGGACTCAAACAAAAACTTGGATTCAACATTTTTCAGTCAGGTCATCTGGACAGTTTCTTTTTTTGTGCTGAAACTGTCAAGATGACCTGACTGAAAAATGTTGGGATTGTATATCTGGATTATTGAGCATGGACTTTGTCGTTTTCAACCAGTTTGATACGATTGTCAACAAGGAAGAGGGCCGGCAATGGAGGAGGGGGCGTGCCAAAGAGACCATCTAATCACCAGCATAACTGGTTTGTTCCACTTTGAAGTAAGCTGTTGGGGGAAGAATCAGTTTTGTTGTGTGTTTCCTTGACTGATGAAGCCTTCTGGATCGAAGGTGAAACGTTTCAGCACAAAAAAAGAAACTGTCCAGATGACCTGACTGAAAAATGTTGGATTGTATACCTGGATTATTGAGCATGGACTTTGTTGTTTAAAACTTGGATTCTTCTTACAATCGTGAGACGTTCTTCATCAGTCAAGTTCCACGTTTCTCAAACACAGTTCATGGATCAGGAGTTTTTACAGAAGATTTTTTTTATTTTTTTTATTCCCACCATAAATTATTGCACTAGGTTTTACTAAGTTTTGTACTAAGTACATAAGTTTTTGTCCTACTAGTGCTTAGCGTATTTTTAGTTTAACGTTGTTCTTAGTTCATATCTTAGATCTTATTACTGTTTTTCTTTTACATTCTATACTTTTGTTGGATGTAACTGGGACCCTGTGTACACAATTTTGTTCCACCATATGTACCACATAAATAAAGAACCTTTAACTTGGAAATCAGTCAGATTGTGATCTGGAACATTTATCGGACAAGTCATATGGTTGATTTGTCCTGTTTTTACACTCCGTTTTTTTAAGAAAAACTTTCAAGCTGATTGCCACTTAACTTTTTCATTGATAGATTTTTTTTTTCTTCTAACATTTCAGTGTACCTGTGAGTTTATTTCCTGCCCTTCTTTTTCAAGACAATCTACCCTTCATCTTCTGGCAGCTCTTTCCCCATCAGTTATTAATGGGTAATAGACTGCACTTATTGCAGAGCAGCATTTTAGTAGAAAACCTCCTGAAGTTTCTCAGGCGTCAACATTTCTGCAGATCATAACTGCACAGAAAAAGCCTCTTCTCCTGCAGGACACCATGCAGGAGATTTGTTTGGACTGGTTTAAAAAAATACAGAAAGCAGTCTGAGGTGGCCTCTGAAGTCCCCAAACATAAATCTAAAGATATCTGATGACTCCACAGGGCCCAATGAAAGAGCTGCAAGCATCTCAACCTAACACTTCAGAACATCCTTTGATTTTTGTTCGTGCCCCGAGATGTCAGAGCAGTATTAGGGGAAAAAGTAGGATCATTTCTATAAAAAGGGGGATGTTACTATGTATAAACTCCAATCCATTAATAAAATGTTGAACGTCAGCTCTTGATAGTCATATTTTATGTCCAATAGAAGCAACAGCTCTTTAACGTCTGTGAGCTTTATCAAAATACTAATTTTAAGAAGAAAGGCAAACTAAAACCATTTTAATCATTTCTTTCCATGTTTTCCAAAGTGCGGAGGTTTAGCTAATAAATGATTTTTTGTGTTGCAGCAAAACAAAAATAAACTGAATGAACATCCACTAAAAGTAACGAATTCGTATCGTTTTCAAATATCTAGGTGTCCGATTATTAAAACTACAGGTGCTAGTCATAAAATAAAAATATCATGAAAAAGTTTATTTATTTCAGTAATTCCATTCAAAAAGTGAAACTTGTATATTATATTCATCCATTACACACAGACTGATGTATTTTAAATGTTTATTTCTTTTAACGGTGATGATTATAACCGACAACTAATGAAAACCCCAAATTCAGTATCTCAGAAAATCAGAATATCCTTAAGACCAATAAAAAATGATTTTTAGAAATGTTGACCAACTGAAAAGTATGAGCATCAATACTTAGTTTGGGCTCCTTTTGCCTGGATTACTGCAGCAATGCAGCGTGGCATGGAGTCGATCAGTCTGTGGCACTGCTCAGGTGTTATGAGCCCAGGTTGCTCTGATAGTGGTCTTCAGCTCTTCTGAATTGTTGGGTCTGGTGTATCACATCTTCCTCTTCACAATACACCATAGATTTTCTATGGGGTTAAGGTCAGGCGAGTTTGTTGGCCAATTAAGAACAGGGATACCATGGTCCTTAAACCAGGTACTGGTAGTTTTGGCACTGTGTGCAGGTGCCAAGTCCTGTTGGAAAATGAAATCTGCATCTCCATAAAGTTGGTCAGCAGCAGGAAGCATGAAGTGCTCCAAAACTTGCTGGTAGACGGCTGCATTGACCTTGGACCTCAGAAAACACAGTGGACCAACACCAGCAGATGACATGACCCCCCAAACCATCACGGACGGTGGAAACTTGACACTGGACCTCAAGCAACGTGGGTTCTGTGTCTCCTCTCTTCCTCCAGACTCTGGGATCTTGACTTCCAAAGGAAATGTAAAATTTACTTTCATCAGAGAACATAACTGGACCACTCAGCAGCAGTTCCAGGTGAGACGCTTCTGATGCCGTCTCTTGTTCAAGAGTGGCTTGACTCAAGGAATGCGACAGCTGAACCCATGTCTTGCATATGTCAGTGCATGGTGGTTCTTGAAGCACTGACTCCAGCTGCAGTCCACTCTTTGTTAATCTCCCCCACATTTTGGAATGGGTTTTGTTTCACCATCCTCTCCATGGTGCGGTTATCCCTATTGCTTGTACACTTTTTTCTACCACATCTTTTCCTTTCCTTCGCCTCTCTATTAATGTGCTTGGACACAGAGCTCTGCGAACAGCCAGCCTCTTTAGCAATGACCTTTTGTGTCTTGCCCTCCTTGTGAAAGGTGTCCATGGTTGGCTTTTGGACAACTGTCAAATCAGCAGTCTTCCCCATGATTGTGTAGCCTACAGAAGTAGACCGAGAGACCATTTAAAGGCCTTTGCAGATGTTTTGAGTTAATTAGCTGATTAGAGTGCGACACCAGGTGTCTTCAATATTGAACCTTTTCACAATATTCTAATTTTCTGAGATACTGAATTTGGGGTTTTCATTAGTTATGAGTTATAATCATCAACGTTAAAAGAAATAAGCATTTGAAATATATCAGTCTGTGTGTAATGAATGAATATAATATACGTTTCACTTTTTGAATGGAATTACTGAAATAAAATCAACTTTTTCATGATACTCTAATTTTATGACCAGCACCTGTACAAACATAATAAGTTAGAGGAAAATGATGAGCAGCTGTGATGTTATAAATGAGACATTTTTACATAAATTAACCTGTTTGTGCTTTCTAATCTAATTAAAATAAAAACATGCTACTGAGGGGCTCAAAGCTGCCGCCCATATTAATGAACTGTTAAATAAAGTCTGTAAAATGAAGACGCATGCTGTCTAATATTGACTTTACCTTTCTGTTTTCTCTCTCTGAGATCTGTGCCACTCCTTGGGAATTAGGACAGGGATTGAGGGTGTGCAGGTGGAGGAGCAGAGGGATGGGATGGGGGCACCCTGGGGGGTTGGAAGCTTCCAGGTGGGCGTGGTTTGTTGGTATCCAGGAGAGTAACTGCTGTGAGGCTGGTGAGATGGGACGAAAGCGTGAGGAGGGGGGGAGGCAAAGAGAGGCGACGGTGTGGTTGAGAATGAAGAGGAAGATGAGGAGGACGTGGTGGTTGGATGCTGCTCAGTGCTAGGTTCAGTCAAGCCTCCAGGGGGAGGTGCAGAGGAGGAGGGGCAGGCACTGAGGGACAATAAGAGGAGGAAACAGCTCAGCATCAAAGAGGGGACGCAAATAAAAACAGTTTTTTATGTTTTGTTTTACCAAACAGACGAACCTCTCCTGGGAGTTTGAGGACGAAGTCAGTTCTAAAGAGGAATCTGAAGGTTCAGAGAAATAATGTCAGTTTTTTACTTCTTATTAAAGTGGACTGCTGTCACAGTGGTTAACCATTTAAACCATTAACTAACCAATACAAACAAATACCATAAAAATGCTGTAAACAAAAGGAATCAAATACAACAGAATGCGTAAACAGCTGCACTTCAAAGTCACTGACCCGAGGACAAGACACTCTGATTCACAGAGACTGTCTGAAGCTGCTCGGTCTCTTCAGTGCCGTTCACCTGAACAGACACGACCGTCAATGAATTACACACACTGTGAATGGTGTGGGTCTGGTTTTAGTGTGTGCATGCTCTTACCTGTGGTTCCAGCTGCTTTGGAGCTTCACTGGGATCTTTGTCGGAAACTGACAGAACTGGAGCCACAGCAGTGGAGTCGTCCATTTTTTCTTCATCCTCACTAAGAGTACAAACCTCTCATCAGCATCACACAAGTACACCATTTAATGTTAACTCTTATCACTCCTTGAAGGAATTAAAGTTTCCCGCCACCTTTTAATGCTCGAGATTTAACCTGAGATCATCTTATGATGACAGGGAACAGAGTTTTAGCTGCTTTGGTCAAATCTTGTGACGTTTTGCACGATCTCATGCAATACTGTGAAATCTCGTAAAATGCGTTAAGTGTTCAAAGTAGGTGTTGAGGATGACTCTCAGCTACGACCACAGTAATTTTTAGCTTAACATTTGTAAAATATTCTGGGTTTGAGCCATTTTATGAATCTGAGTGATAAAACAAAAACAGAATCAACAAATGATGATTTAGTGGAATTACTTGTTTTCCGAGTACCGTATTTTTCACTTGAATAAGTCGCAGTTTTTTGCATAAATTAGCATGCCTGCAACTTATACAGCCTGCGACTTATACAGTAAAGCGACATATTTATGTTATTTATGTTTCCCCCCCCATATTTATAACCCAATTTTTGTCTGCGATTTGATGATTTAATTCATTCTGACATGGAAAATATTGAACACTACCATTTTCATCCACTAGAAGGCCCTCGACTTATATGCAAAGCCAAGTGTCTCATTAATAGGTAAAAGCAGCTATTAATGAGACACTTGACTTGCCATACAAAGCCACCTTCATCTCGCTCTGAAACTCCTGGAATAAACGTCAAGTCAGTTGCATTTTGCCGCATCGCCCAAGCAAAATGCAACTGACTTGACTGTCAAAGTGTATTTATTAAGGAAAAGTTTGACTAAGATGCACCTTTACTATAATGTCGAGCAAACAAATAATTGTTTTTTGGGTGGTTATCTTGTTAAATTTAACCAGCCGTGTAACTGGAAACAGCTGCACGCCGGTCCCAAGCCCGGATAAATGGGGAGGGTTGGAGAAAGCAATGGCAAACTACTCCAAATATTTTTTTGCCGAAATACTCTATGGATCACGACGAAACGCTCTCACGTATAGTGTCGGATGGCAGGACCCCTGGGCCAGAAGGTACTCATACAGCTACCAGGGAAGAGCAAGGCAGTGTTTCGAGTAGCTCAGGCACTAATGACGCGGGTAGGACAAATCCATTAGGACTCCTGTCTGCTGATGTAGCTCTAAGAGAAAGGACCTGTCTGCGCTTATCAAGAACCCACATTTTTGGAACATGGAACGTCCGTGGCATGAACACGGGCAAACTGGAAATTGTAAAAAAGGAAATGCAACGGCTTAACATCGATCTTCTGGGCATCAGCGAACTTCACTGGAAAGGAAATGGCTATTTCAACAGCGATGATTACACTGTTTTTTATTCCGGAAATGATAGAATAAAGCGAAAAGGAGTAGCTTTTATCACGGCCAAGGCAGTCACCAAAGCTGTTCAATGTTTCAAGGCAATAAATGATAGGATCATAGCCATACGTATAAATGGGAAACCTCGCTCAATCACAGTTTTACAAGTCTATGCCCCCACAACCGAAGCGGAGGATGAAGAGATTGAGAACTTTTTTTTCGATCTCCAACAAGCAATCGAACAGACTCCCACCAAGGATGTCATTTTCATAACTGGGGATTTTAATGCAAAAGTCGGTTCCAGTGAAGATAGTCCATATGTTGGCAAATTCGGGCTGGGCGAGCGGAATGTCGCTGGCGATCGCCTGGTTCAATGTTGTTCAGAAAATCATTTAGCAATCATGAACACATGGTTCGAACAACCAAAGCGGCGTCTATACACATGGACAGCTCCAAATGGTGTGTATCGTAATCAAATCGACTATTTCCTGTGCCAACAGCGATGGAAAAGCTCAGTATTGGCTGTAAAAACATCTCCTGGAGCAGATTGTGGCTCAGACCACCAGCTCCTTGTTGCTAAAATCAAACTACGCATCAAAAACACCAGACAGCCTACAGCAACACGTTGCTTTGATACAGGTAACATCCCTCCACTTTATGCCGTTGAAATCAAGAAAAGTTTTGAAGTGCTCTGCACAAATGGAAAAGACCCCGACGAACTTTGGGAGGAAATCAAAGCCATCACGCAAAATACAGCGGAAAAAATAGTCCCTTTGAAAAAACCAGGAAGAAGAACTCAGTGGATATCGGACGAATTGATCCAAATCGCCAACATGCGCAGAGTAGCCAAAGCTACTGGTAACAGCACAGAATTCAGAAGGCTAAATGCGATATTTCAAAGGAAAGCCAGAGAAGACAAAGAACATTACTGGAACAATCAATGTGCAAAGCTGGAAGAAGCAAACAAGTTAGGTCATACACGAGCTCTTTTCACCTATGTGAAACAGACCAGGGCACCGTTTGCAGCACGCAAAGCAGCGGCCATCAAGGACCACGATGGAAAATTATTACATGACAAAAATCAAATCAAGCGTAGATGGCGGGAATACACAGAAGAGCTGTACTCAGACCATCAAATAGGACCGCTGGAACAGGCATGTCAGGTCGAACAAGAACCATGCATTCTTGAGGAAGAAGTCGAGTGGGCTTTGAAACAACTACCAGACGGAAAAGCCTCTGGAATCGATCATCTACCTGTTGAACTACTAAAAGCAGTGCCGATTAAGCTTTTAACAGACCTATGTCAAAAAATCTGGTCCACCAAATCGTGGCCCAAGGACTGGAAAAGATCAGTCTTTGTCACTATTCCAAAAAAAGGCGATGTCCAGGAATGTTCCAACCACCGTACTATCGCCCTCATATCTCACGCAAGTAAAATCCTTCTGAAGATCATACAGAATCGCATTGCAACAATTGTCGATAAGGAACTGCCGGAAGTTCAAGCTGGTTTTTGCAAGGGACGCAGCACTAGAGACCAAATCGCAAATTTACGTTGGATCATGGAGAAGACACAGGAATATCAAAAGGACGTCTATATGTGTTTCATTGACTACAGTAAAGCTTTCGACTGTGCTAATCATGAAAAGCTATGGAAGTGCCTGACACAAATGGGCGTCTCAGAACACATCGTACAGTTAATAAGATCTCTTTACAACGACCAAGAAGCAACGGTTAGGACGGCATACGGGAACACGGAGTGGTTTCAAGTCATGAAAGGTGTTCGTCAAGGCTGCATCCTGTCACCAGTTCTTTTCAATCTGTACGCAGAAGTGATTATGAGGCGTTGCAATTTGGAAGAATCTGAAATTGGAATCAAAATCGGCGGCAGAAACATCAACAACCTTCGATATGCAGATGATACAACCCTGCTCGCAGAGAGTGAAAAGGACCTCGATTGCCTCGTCCGACGTGTGCAAAAGGAAAGTGAACGAATGGGACTGTACCTGAACATCAAAAAAACAAAAGTTATGACCACGGCAGGCAATGGTATAATGAACACGCAAATCAACAACACGGTAATCGAGTCTGTCCAAGATTTTATCTTTCTTGGTGCTAAAATGGACCGCTGTGGGGCTTCGGCTCCCGAGATCAAGAGACGAATTACACTTAGCAGGACTGCAATGCTGGGTTTAGATAAGCTCTGGAAGAGTAAGGATATTAACCTTGTAACTAAAGTAAGACTAGTCAACGCAATTGTCTTCCCCATAATGATGTATGGCTGCGAAAGTTGGACGCTTAGGAAAGAAGAGAAAAGAAAAGTCGAAGCTTTCGAACTGTGGTGCTGGAGAAGAATGCTAAGAATACCTTGGACTGCTATGATGACGAACAAGACAGTTTTGGACCGGGTCAAACCATCAATGTCCTTACTGGGCAAAATTACCAAACAGCAGCTCTCTTATTTTGGTCACGTGATGCGTGCAAATTCTTTGGAAACGTCAATGATGCTTGGAAAAGTCAGTGGAAAAAGAAGACAAGGCCGCCAAAGAACGAGATGGCTCGACACAATAACGACAACAATGAATATGCCAATTGCGGAATTGAAAAAATTGGTGAAAGACAGGGAGGCATGGAGTTCGAAGATTCATAAAGTGACCGAAAGCCGGATACGACTGATCGGATAATCATCATCATCTTGTTAAATTTTGAAGAAATGCACAGCGAGTCGTCCCTCTTCTCGCTTCCGTGAATCGGCTTTTGAAATGCAACTGATTTGACCATCAAAGTGCATTTATTAAGGAAAAGTTCAACTGAGACACACCTTTACTATAATTTCGAGCAAACAAAAAATTGTTTTTAAGTGTTAATCTTGTTAAATTCTTGTTATTTTCCCGTGCACGCTCCCGCGGCCGCTATTTGGCGGGCAATTGATTTTTGGCACAACAATGACCCACATTTCTGGGTTGTCAGAGGTGACACAACAACGCGACGCGTCAGTGGCGACGCATTAATGCAACACAATAAATTTTTCTCCACTTTATTAAACACATTTGGACTGATGTGACTTATACAGCGGTGCGACGTGTACGGCGGCAAGTACGGTAATAAGGAAACGTCTTAAATCAATGCCAAGTACAGCCCGTCAATATCACAGCCCGTATCATATTCATGTGTTTGTGTGATTATATACTTGTTGGATATTAATGCTTGGCTTTCAACGAGCTGTGGAGACGAGTTGGACGAGTTCTCAGCAGAGGCAGGTTGAGTTGCTTCAGGGGGAACATCTGGGCCTTCAGATACTGTTGTCGGTTCTGCACCCTTTGAAGGACTCTGAAGAGAGTCCTTGAGGCAAGAAGCAAATGGTTGTGAAGACATTGTCAGTAAATGCTCCAGATACGGTCACAAAACATCTACAATCAGGCATTTGACAGAAGCTTCACCTTCTGGCCGCAGGGGGGCTGGAGAGGCTTGCTGAGCTGGATCTGCACACTGACAGGGGCAGGAGTGGGGGCAGGAGTCGGCTTGTTGAGCTGGATCTGCACGCTGACAGGGGCAGGAGTGGGGGCAGGAGTCGGCTTGTTGAGCTGGATCTGCACACTGACAGGGGCAGGAGTGGGGGCAGGAGTCGGTGCTGGACTTAAAGTCTTGGAAGTGGAGGCGACACTGCTTTTCCCCACACGTTTGGCGACGCCTTGTTCTTTTTTAAAGTTGTTAACAGTCTGAGTTACGAGATAAAAGGCAAAGCGAAGGCCGTCAGTTTATTTCTGTTGTGAACAAGTCAGGTGAGAAAAAATACACAAGAGACGAGGTTCTGCCACAACAGTTGAAACATCTGCTAAATCACCTGTCTAAGAAATTTATTGGCTATCAGAGTATCTGGGGAGACGTCTGATTGGCCACACGTGGGGCAGACATGGTCCTCAGAATCCAACAAGGCTGTGCGGATACCTACACGAGACACATGCAACAAATCCTGATATTTTGTTTAAAAACTGGTTTAAATGTTTCTGTAGTTTTGGACAGAGGATCTGAATTGTGTCAGAAGCTCACATTCGTCACAGTAGCTGTTTCCACAGCAGGGTATGACCACGGCGTCGCCCAGCAGGTCGTGACAGATCAGGCAGAGGAGTTCATCGGGGATGGGCTCCTCCTCAACTTCAGGTTTAGGCACCGCTTGTGGGACAAAAGGAGGTTTCTCCTTCTTCCCAACAGCATACGCCTCCCTAAAGAAGATAAAACAGAGCAAACGTCAGAAAACTACGTCAGACTTCTCTCTTTTTTTAGTCCTACAAATAATTAAATTACAAATCGCCAAAAAACATTATCATAGTCATCCATGTAAACTAACATGACCTTCCAGTGATTACCAAAATAATGTAGCCTCATTTTATTTTGCTTCACACTCACGCGTCTATAGCAGGAATCGCGTAACGTCCAGAGTTGGTCAACATGACTCCTTTAATGTTGGGATCGTCCACTTCAACCATGAAGGAGCGAGGAATTCCTGTGCTCTTCTTGATCTTCGGAGGACCCTCAAAGTTTTTGTCCTGCTCCCAAACACATTTCTACTTTTACTCCAAGTCCTAGTGGCAGGACAGGATAAAACTAGGGATGCACGATAATATTGGCATGGTATCAGCCGATATTGGCGTTAAAGTTAAATATCGGCCATTCCATCAAAATAACTCACCGATATAAAAAAAACGCTGTTTTTTTTTTTGACAATCCAGTGACAAGGATGCCTGCAGCACCAGCACAACATGATGACGTCACGCACACCTACCTGATCTGATCACAGCGGAGAGGAAAATTCAAAATGTCAGCGGTGTGGAAGGTTTTTTTTTTTTTTTTTTTTTTTGAGGATGTCGTATTTCGATTTTGGGACTACGCTAAGCCTCGCTACATCGTCCCCAGTCGGAGATATTTTCCGACGTAGCCATACCCGAGTTACAAGCCGTCATTTCCAACGTCATTGAGAAGCTAATAGCCGATAGCACTTGGGTGAGTTTTACCACAGACATTTGGACATCAAGTGTTAGCCTCGTTAGCATGATTAGTCTTACAGCACCAAGGATAGACAAAAACGTTGAAGTTAAAAAGTCTGTCCTTCATGCACAGGAGTGCAGAGGATCCCACACTGCAGCTATAGGAACCTGGAACAAACCTCCACAAGTGAGACAGCATCACAGGTGACTAATGCTAATAAATAACATTTAACACTTTTCATTTAATATAAGTTAAGTGCTATGAATATCATATGGCTGTTACTGAATATTTGTCACCAGCTCTTACAGCTGTTACACAATTTTTGTAGCAAATAAGGCTAAATAAGAGGGCTATGTTCTGACAAAGGACAGTATATTAAAAATATCCGTATCGGTTAATGGCCAAATAAGATTTTAACATATCGGCATATTTGATATCGGCCAAAAATCCAATATCGTGCATCCCTAGATAAAACAATAGAAAATGCAGAAATTCTAACTTCATTTTTAAATCACACAAATACACAAAGCAATGTAAAGCAGACATAAAAAACAGATTGTATGCAAGGCAAGAGCAGAACTGTGGCAGCTGCAAGAACAAAAAGGAATCATTTGTGTACAAACATTAGTGCAGATTTATGATTTTTCCACAAACATGAACAGGTAAATCAAAAGTCGACAGCATTTAAATTTTATTTCACTAAATAAAAATATTGAATAAAAATGAAGGTTTTGACAAAGAAAACCACTGAAAAGTAATGAAAGAGACTACTGGACATCCAAGTAAGAGTCTGCTTAGATTTTCCTCCCTCATTCAGAAAATCACGTTTTCTGTCAGAAATGAACAATGATGCATTTGGATGAAAAAAAGAAAGCATGCTCTTTTAAATTTACTTTTAAAATGCATCAAATAATTCTAATCCCCAAACGTGCAGGAAAGTTGAGCTGTGTGTGTATATGTGCTACAGAGCTACACACCAGGACCTCACCCCAACTGAGAAGCACGGTGGAGGTAGCATCGTGATGAGGGGTTGCTCTGTTACCACAGGGTCGAGATGTGTTGCATTCAAATGGCTGGCTCTAATGAATTCAAATTTGGATTAAGAATCATTACATAAGTGCAAGTTCACTATTATTTTTAATTTATTTTCATTTCAAGTCTAACGAGCTTGAGGCGGAAATAATATTTCAACATTTGTTGCCACTTGGACTTTTTGTTTTGATGAACCAGAGGACAGGGGCCGGGCAGTTTGGAGAGTGGATCCACTTCTTAATGGTCAGAGTTTCATCTCTCACCGAGAAGTTTTCTGCCTGGAGGACCTCAGGACAAAGTGTCCACAGCGTTCCACTAACCTAAACTGTCAGAGCTGGATCTGAGCGGGGCGTCCATGTTCATTTACCCTTTATTTATACAGGTAGTCTCATTGAGCCACGAGAACTCATTTCCATGTACGGAGCAGCTGACAGCTAGCTGTTTAAAAACCTGTTAGCTCACAATGAGAACCACATATAAATGTAGATGGGGGCAGGTGGGGGGGTTCTTCAAGTCAAAGAGCTGGAATATATTTTGCTGATAAATATAGAGTAAATGGTAAGAAAACACTCGTTTGCGTGTGAAAACTAACAGTAAGATGTTTAATAAAAATTAAAACAACTTATTGATCCTTTATATTTCATTTATGTAAGCCACTTGAGTTGTTAAACAGTCCAATAGTCACAAAGCAGAAATGTCACTTTCAGAAACGGCATCAGTGAAACACCAAAGTTCATGCTCAATAATCCAGGTACAAATCCAACAAAATTCATGCTCAATAATCCAGGTACAAATCCAACAAAGTTCATGCTCAATAAT